TTTTTTAATAATCGTGATATCAATTATTGACCCAAATAATCGAGATTAGGATTTTTGCCATAATCGAGCAGCCCTAGAAAATAGTACTGACTTACAAATAAATCCAATTGACTGCAATATCAGAATGTAAATACAATTGTACAGCACTTCTTTGACAACATCTCCATATAATACGAGAATATATAAGTGGGATAGCAAATATATAATACAAATGTAAAAAAGCAACAAGAGAAGTCTGCTGTGTTGTTGAACACTGTGCTGCAGGCTGTGTGAGGTCATCAGTGTACAGAGGGTGATGTCTGTATTTCATGCAGGAAGGTTATGTAATCACCACAGCGCCTGAATGTCTTTTTGAATGCATTATTTATTGAGGTGGGGAAGGAAAGAATACTCAGGCTGGTGCTTGTGCTACGAGTGGTAATAAAACGTCATTTACCTCTTTCCCTTTAGTGTCTCCATTTTCTATCCACTCCACTGTGACGCTCTCATTGTCCTCATTCAGTGAGGTCACCATCGACTGGTGTATACGTCCTGAGGAAGTAGCAAAGACAGGGAAGCATAAGATATCCAGACAAACACTGAGAGGTGAAGGCAGTGTTTACAAAGGCCCATCAAATCACCTGGCACTAAACCAGGGTACCTGCACATTTTTGAAGTACAAATATAATGACTTTTAAGACCTTTTTAAGACCTCTAAAAAGGAACAAATAATACCAATACAAAAACAATCGGTGAACTAGACAACAGTATAAACCGTTACTGAGTTTAATTGCATTTGAATAACGGGAAATATTCAGTGCACATTACCCAACATGGTTGCCTTCGCATTAACAACTAAATAATTGTATGGAAGTAGACCAATGGAAACCAATACCCCCCCTGCACAGTGCACACTCATTCATTCTGCCCCAGATACAATTTAATACCTCCCCTCCTAACATTTCAGACCTTTTTAGACATAAAATAAATGTATGACTTTTAAGAATCCTGGTTTTAAACACTTCAATGATGACAACATTGAAATCATGTCTTTTCACAGATTCACTAACTAATAGCACATTTTATTTTCACATTAACAAATAAACAAAATCAGACAGCAGCAAATAGGTCAGGCTAATCTTCCGATCTGTCCACGAGGTTTAATTATGACCTGTTGGGGAGAATCACCGGTGAAGGAGACAAGCACTGCTGCTGCAGCGAGCGTCTGTGTTTCTCTCCGCCTCTCTGTCTGCAGTGTCATAAACACAGCTGTAAAGAGACGCCTCAGACCCCCGTCTTTGTCTATGTGGATCCGACTGTAGGCTGTAAATTCCCAATACAATCCAGGGAAACACCGTGTTCCTGTATCCATTATTCAGAGAACCGGCAGCTAGCGAGCAAAGATGCTTTTAGCGTTCTCAGCTGCTGAACCTTTCACGGTTTTACCTTATAATGTTTTCATTCGGCAAAAAGCAAATGTAGATTGCTTAAAAACAGAGTTGACGGGAAATGTTGGCAACTCAGAAGATCAGAACCTCTGGATGCAAAAAGGTGGACATAAAATTGATTAATAATTATAACTAGACAGTACTGTACATGTGACTGAAAAATGACATGTGACTATTGTGACTTAAAATAGTCACAAATTCCAAAAGCAACAATAATTTAGATTGTACATACATAAACAATGTAATATAACACTACCATAAAAAAAGTAATGAACAATTAACACATCAATCTTCTATCTCGCTGCTCTACCCTCCATCAGAAATGGCCCCCATACATTTCTGTCATTGAGAGCTCATGTTACAGAGACAAGCGTTTGAAAAATAGGCTTCTTGTTAACAAAACACTGAGGAGCTCATGCAGCCTTCCAAACCCATTGACTTGAACTGGCTAAAGTTTAAAAGATGAAAACAGTTCATTTCACAACAAACTACAAAAGGATTGGTTTCCTTTAAAAACATGTTTGCTCAAAACAGCTTCAATTTGCTTGGCATTAATTCTCTGCAACCAGTCTCCTGACTTTGACTCCATGATCATGTGATTCCCTTCACTACATATCTCATTCAGTCAGGGGACATCTGCAATAGCTGTGTTTCTGAACTCACGTATTCAGGTGTTTCTTTAATGTGTCATCTGTCTGACTGTACATTAAAGTCGGACATTTTGTATTACTTCTGTGTACTTCAATTATGGTTTTGCGAATATGTCTGGTCTGTTCAACTGTGACATGGTAGGGAACCAAACGCTTTGGCAACGGTGAAGGATGCTGGGACAGGCCCGTGGCAGTGTTTGGGGTTACACCTCGACTGAAGAACAGTGTTGAGAGCTTACCATGCTGTAATAGTGAGGGCATCACTCAGCAGAGGATTTACAGCCAAACAGAGGGACAGGCAAGTCCCTCCAAATCACCGGCGTTTCTTTTGGCTAAAGGAAGCCACATGACTCTAATGATGTGGAGAATGTGAAGGCCAGGACAGGTTGACATGCTGAGACACACTAACTAATACTGACTGAGGTTGAAGACATGATACATGTATAATGTGAAGGTAACAGCAATTCTCAATTTCCAAATGGAAAGGCATTCTAAGCTAGGTTGCTGCTTGTATTTAATGTTTAGTTATCGGTGGCACAGAGACGATATACCCTGAATAGAGGCAACAGTAAGATCCTACACCTCAATACTAATGTGTAGTGTGTTTCAGCCAAGGGCCGAGAGAGCCAGGGATGGAGCTCCACACCATCACAGCATTTTTTAACAATCAAAATTAATTTTCTCCCTCCAAATCCAGGAAACTGAAAATTATGTTGTATTAGGGCTGCTCAATTAAATCGTATTTTAATCGCGATTACGGCTTGCAACGATTACGAAAACAACGTAATCGAAATAAAACGATTATTTTTTAATAATTTTTTTTTTTATAATACATTTTTTTTTTCTTCAGTTGAATTCTACTTGAAGTTCAGGGTAATCAACTGTTAAAAACATACTGGTCACATTTTTTTTCTCCAATAAATGCATGTTTTCAAAGTCAATGAATAATCACATTTAATAATCGCAATTACAATTATTGACCCAAATAATCGAGATTATGATTTTTGCCATAATCGAGCAGCCCTATGTTGTATTGTAAATTAAACTTCTTAAAAAAGGTTTCTACCTTTATTTCAGCCTCTCAAATATATTAGCCTGATGACAGTTACCAAGTCCAAGCTCAAATAACTTTCTAACAAGTAAATATTTGGTGTAAGTAATTTGTTAGTCACTTATATTATTAAAAAGGGATCACTTTAGTTTATGATTTATATTAGTTTAAAAAGGGAAGATAATTGGTTTTGTGGCAGACACTTTATCAACAAGAACAACACACAATGGTGTGAAGCTGTACACTTTGCTGTTGAGAAAAACATTTCATTTCACGATCCAAAGGTGTAGTGGCCTGCCCGCCTCTTCCTCACTTTCACACACACATTCGGTAACTGAATTAATTGTCCCACTTTAATACAAAAGACCTGGCTGATTCAGGCTGACATTATTAGTAGTTGAGGGGCTTAAGAGGGGGTGCTCGAAGTCCAAGAAAAAAAAACTCTTCAAAGCAACAGTTTCACTCCAAAACTAAAGAAACTTTGTTGACATGTGTCAACACAGTTTCCACCTATGTTTCTTACTCTCTTACTTGCTACCCTTTGCCCTCAACCTATTCTAAGGGAGTGCTTGTTCTTCCGTCTGTCTGTGTCTGTGTATTCTCTTGTTCCGATTAACCCCAGCCAAAAATGTTCTTGTTTTGTGTCTATATCTACGCCGGGATCCGGAGTCGAGGCTGATCTTCTTGCTGTGGTCGTGTGTCCTGGATCCTCTATCCTGAGTTCTGGATTAAGTCGTGGACTTCGGGTCGTGGCTAAACCTGTCTCTGCGGTCCTGCCTGGGTCTCGTCATGCTGCCTCCTTGAAGGCTCCCACAGGATTGTAGTTGACATCTTCGTAGATTCATCTTCTTATTACAGACACATGCATTTCCTAACATTTGGACTACCTATGCTGTAAAATGTATTATCTCTTCGATTTACACACGGCATCTATTGCACGTCTGTCCGTCCTGGGAGAGGGATCCCTCCTCTGTTGCTCTCCCTGAGGTTTCTCCCATTTTTTCCCTTTAAACTGTGGGGTTTTCTCCGGAAGTTTTT